GGCCCCCAGCTGGGAGGCTGGAGATCCTGGTGCCACTGAAGGTTGCTGAAGGATAACAGAGCGGTTGTCTGAGGATCTGGTCTGATACTACTGGAAGAAACTGCCTGTAGGATACTGGTAGGAGGCAACCATTTGTCCAGAGGTAGCAGTTATTACACATGGAAAGAGAGATCTTAGAGATTGAGTTCTGCTACCACCCCTCTCGTGTGTTAGAAGGTTAGCCGAGTGTTTGCAAGAAGTTTTTCCATAGGAGCATACTCTATCCACTCCTTGTGAAGTGGCTGTTGCTTGGCCTGTTCACCGAGCAAGGCTTAACCTCCTCAATACTGTTATTGCAGAGCCTATCCATCACATGCTTAAACATTGACTGTGCTCAGAGTTTCAAGAAGCAAGTTTAGTGTCCTCAAGTTTGTTCCATATTTGAAGTAGTATCCTTCTACTTCCCCTCACCATCCAATTTCAGTTCTTTACTAAATCATCAAAAACACCAACCCCTAGACTGTTTCTTTACCCAAAAGAGTAAATGTGTATGTGTGCCTGGTTGCCAGACAACTGCGGGGGGAAAAGACTTGGGGACCTATGGAACTGCTGGCTCCCACGGGGGTTCCGCTAAATTAGTTTACAGAGAAAAGATAAGATGTTGTGACAGACCCAACTGGGAGAGGGGCTTTTGGAGATGACTAGGGGCTAGCCTTCTAACCATTGATTATGGCCCATGGAGGAGACCAGGGATTTTATCTGCTTCTCCCGCTCAGAGGATGGAAAAGAGCTCAGTTCAGCCTCTGATCACATGGAGAGAGCTGATCAGGCTGTGATGATGGATAATAACCTGATGAACACTGAGAGTGAGGCTTGGATTAATCTTCTGAATAAAGACAATAAAGCTTCCTTTCTGCAGTAGATGGAAAGGTGTAATATTAACCTTGTACAGGTTAATGGTCAAAGGAAAAATGGGGCCCTCTTGCGGACTGGGTTGGAGAAACTCAACAATCTCCCTCAAGAAATCTAAGAAGATAAACTAATTCCACTTTTCTTTATGGTGACTTTTCTAGTGGACAGATTAAACAAGTGAAAGGCAAACACCTGAAAGACAGCATATGTAATGTACTTTGTATATCCAGGGTGTGGGCTTGTTGCTAGGCTGTCTGGGGTGGGCTCCTGGCTGGGCTCCTAGCTATTGATTAGATAACTGTTAGCTTCTAGCTATTAATTAGATTACTGTTTGATTAGATCACTGCTAGCTGTTGTCTGTTCATTAGATGTACTGATGATATTACTGTTTGCATTGTTTAGGAAAATGTGATCAAGCTATTACCTGATTCTGTGTGGTAGAAATTCTGTGTGAATTGACAAAGAGAATTCCAGTTTGCACCTAAGCTAGTGTCGTCTAGTTCTTGGGTACAATGCCCAGTTATAATACCTTGTTCCTCTGTTCCAGCGGTGAGGACGCAGTTCCCTGACAGAAGCACCCAGGCAGGGTTCCAGGCGGTCCGTCACAGATGTGCTTTCTGTTAAAGTATAACTAAAGGCAAAACTTTTTTTTTTTTAGTTATGGCCAGAGTGGAGAGGAATTAGAACACCTGTCAGTTTTTATTACTGTCTTTGCCCCCATTAGGGAGGTTCAATCTCTTCTATGTGTCATGTTTACTGTTGTCATCGAAAGTGAAAATTAAGGAAAATTCTAAATTTTGGGTTGTGCCTACATAATAGAGGGGGAACCTTCCAACGGGGACACCTGGGGTGCTCTAAGGGGTTATCTGGGGTGCTCTAAGGGACTCCCTTTAATTTGGAAGGATTCCCTTAATTTTCCTCTCACTTCCTGTTTTGGCTGTGGAACAGGAAATGAAGGGAAATCTCCCCAATGGAACACAGATGGGGAAAAAAAAATCTGACAGGGGTTATAACCTTCCCTTACTCTACCTGAAATAGGAAATATTTCTACTTTACGCTTGGAGGAAGTGACAAAGAATGCTGCATTTCTGGCATGATTAAGGCTGCTTTCACACTGATGCCGTGCTGTTTGACCACACCGCAGGTTTGGTGCAGGTTAGCTGCGCTTTCCCATAGAGTTCTATTCTATCCCGTGATTTTGGTGTGCTTTCTGAAAGTACACCAAAACTTCTGCATGCAGGACTTTTGCTCTGCTTTCAGAAAGCACACAAAAACTTCAGGACATAATACAAGTCATTGGGAAAGCACAGAAAAGCACTTTGTGTTCATGGCTAACTTGACAATCATAAATCGATATCTGAGCTCTCGTATTCAGTTTTGCTGCTAACCAATAATCCCCTAGCACAGGCCTTGAAATTTCCTCTCGCCTGCTCGCCAATGGCGAGTGTAAATTATGGTGGGGGCGAGTGTGTCCCCCAGGGCCGTCTTGCTGAGCAGGCTCGGAGCTCAGGCCGGATCTGTCAGTGGCACTGGGAGCCGTCAGACTGCTCAATAGCTGAGCGCAATGAAAGCAAAGGAAGGAGTGTGTGCTGTGCTCTCTGCCTCCCCCTAGAGTGCAGTACCTGGCTCTTTGAGTGAACAATGAAGTACTGCAACTTTTTTATAGGGGTGTGTGTGTCTAGTTTCAGCTCACTCTGGTCACATGATCCTCTATATCAGCCAGTGGTGGCTTCAGGGGGAGAAGAAAGAGCACTTAACAGCGTGCATGTGTCTGTGTATGCATGTACATGTGTCTGTGTGTAAGTACATGTGTGTATCTGTACTTGTGTCTGCGTGTATGTACATGTATGTGTACATGTGTCTGTGTGTGTACATGTGTGTGTTTATGTACGTACATGTGTCTGTGTGTACATGTACATGTGTCTGTGCGTGTGTATGTATATGTATCTGTGTGTATGCGTGTCTGTATGTGCCTGTGTTTGTATACATGTGTCTGTGTGTATGTGTACATGTGTCTCTGTGCGTGTGTGTACGTTTCTGTGTGTGTGTGTATGTGTGTGTGTGTGTGTATGTACATGTCTGTGTGTGTGTGTACAGGTGTCTCTGTTTTGTGTGTGTTTGTTGGTGGCGAGTAACTCTAAAGGCCTGGCTAGTAGCTCAGGACTTGAAATTTTAAGCCCTGCCCTAGCACACCAAATAATACAAGAATTATCTAGTACAGTCAATAACTACCTCCTTGTATTATTTACTACTCCTGAAGATGGCATCTGACAGAATTTGTGGTATTCAAGACCACTAGTAACACTGCTGTAGTGTTCTATAATGCTTATTGGTTGGTATCTGTATTACAAATTCAGTCCTTACCTGTCAGCCTCTCACCCGTCCCACAATCGAGCAGTGTACTCACCACAGCCGCTTTTAACTGGCTGTCCTCTCTGACCAATGCTGGCATCTTAAATGTGGGCACTTGGCTGTAACAGCTTGCGGCTTCTCAGCCGGGTGCCCACTGCGCATGCACAAGTAGCATTGTGCCTTGTGAATGGTCCCTTAGTCGTCTGGGACCTGTCATGTGTCCCAGAAGACTACAAAGAGGGATGGGGGAGGAAAACTTCCGCTTCTGATCGCCTAGGCAATTGCAGCAGAAGTGGGAGCGGGTACTTGTCAAAATCAGGTATCCGCTCCCCAAAGGCGCCAATTACCCACTGTGAGCAGGGGACCAGTACTTAAAGCGGAACTTCCCCTTTTGGGTGGAAAATCTGAGCTAAACCTATCTAATCTTAAATCTGCTTTGGCCCCCCCTTCTAACTAACTAACTAACTTCTATTCTATCTGCCCTGTAGAGGAAAGATGTATATACTTACCTATTCTCAGGGTGCTCCACTCCCAGTGCCGGCATCAGGGGAGAGGAGGGACAGACGGTGGAGAAGAGATGCCACATAGTAAGTTCACACCAGAATACGGTGCTGGAAAGGTGCATTTGCCTTATGCTGTGAGCAGGGGTGGACTGACCATTTGGAAACTCGGGCACTGCCCGAGGGCCCGGGGTCAGTAGGGGGCCCTATGAGATGCCCCTGGTACCTTTTTCATAGGCTTTTTTGAGTTTGGGCAAGGACACAGGGGCCCCATGATCCCCTATTGCCCGGGGGCCCCATGAGTTGTCAGTCCGCCCCTGGCTGTGGGTGCCAATACATTGTTAACAGCATCCCAAATGCAGATTACAAATGCAGTGTGCTTACCAGCACCAGATCGCATTGTACCACAGTATCAGTGCATTTAGGAGAAGTAGTGCATGCACTACTTTTTCTGTATTCTGGTGTGATTTGCAGTGCATTCAAATGAATGGTCTGCATAAACGCACAGCACTGAATAGCACAAGAATGCAGACTGCGTTCCTGTGAGATTCAAATGTGAACCAGGCCTTACTGCAGTTGGGCCTGGAGACCCAAAACTGTGAAACCCCACAGTTGCAGAATTTTAGGAGCAGGAAGAGAACAGGGCATCCCTGAAGTGGAAATTTCTACAGGATCCATCAGCCAACGTAAGTGAGACATACTTAATTACGGGTAATTAATAAAAATAAAGCTGTAGAGAAAAAAACTGTTTTTTAACCAATCGTCAGCTTTAAGTATTATTATTCTGTTGTCAGGAAACCACTGGCACAGTTGTAACAGAAAAGTGACAGGTTCCACGTAGCTTGGCTGCTGTGCTCTTCCGTATTACCTATACCGCTGTAAAGGTTTGTTTTTGGAGACTGAGTGGTTGGTGGCTTGATACCTTTGTCCAGTGCACTAAAGTGATCATTTTTCATAATTGGAAAATACATGATATAAATTATTACAGACTAGAAATGTCCAATCTCTAAAGTGCATATTTATTTATTTAATAACACTGGGAGTGTAATATTAACACTTTTAAAAGTGATAAATCTTATTTTAATAAACAATAGAGGTATCTATATAAAGAATAGAAAAAAGGAAAGAAGTAAAACACGTCAAGCTCACAACTTCTGTGCGTTTGAACAATAGTATAAAAGTATTGCACTGCGTCCTTTTCAGCTGTCCAGATGTACAGCAGAGTCTAGCTGTATGGGTAATGGAACATGGAGTTTTTCAAGCAATAAGCATTTTCAGTTCTTCATCTGTCAATTCATTCACCTCCATGATCTTCTCCAAATACTCCATATATCGACCTCTATCCTGGAGAAACTGCGGAATCCTGGCATTGTGCAGAACTGCGAGTTCTTTTAAGCGATCTACATCTTCATATGAAACCTTTGATAGGAATCAGTCAGACTTAGGAATAGTGAGTAAACAGTGCACATTATATTATTAAACAAAATTGAAGTCAAATACTTGGCATTTCTTTCATCCGCAATTGCTTGAGGTGATTGTAGCCGTATTAGTGCATTTGCGACAGAAACCCTTGAGTACTGTCCATGATACTTTTTATTTGCACTAACATACAATTTTGAGGACAAGCTTTCGGGGTATGTCCCCTTCTTCAAAGTCCAAACAGTACTATTACAAATCACAAAGTTTAAGCAGAATGTTAGAAGGGATTGAGAAAAAAAAAAAAAAAGGCTACAGATAAGATACATCAAAAGCGAGGAGGGGAGGGGGGGGATACTACACTCACACAGAGGGGGTCAAGCTTCAGCTAATAGATAGTCATGAAACTGTTGGATAATGGTTGAGGAATCCCATGTCCAAGTTAAGGCCGTTATCTTTTGTGTCAAATAGAATTATCATTCTTAGTTCAAATGTTTTTCTTTCCTAGATGGATTTGAATTTTCCTTTCAGAACTAAAACATTGAGGTCTTCCATATTGTGGCCTGGTTGTGTGAAATGGTGTCCTACAGACATACCATCAAGGAACATAAAGAAGATGACCTCTCTACACCTGTAGGACACCATTTCACACAACCAGGCCACAATATGGAAGACCTCAATGTTTTAGTTCTGAAAGGAAAATTCAAATCCATCCAGGAAAGAAAAACATTTGAAATAAGAATGATAATTCTATTTGACACAAAAGATAACGGCCTTAACTTGGACATGGGATTCCTCAACCATTATCCGACAGTTTCATGACTATCTATTAGCTGAAGCTTGACCCCCTCTGTGTGAGTGTAGTTTCCCCCCCCCCCCCCCTCGCTTTTGATGTATCTTATCTGTAGCCTTTTCTTTTTTCTCAATCCCTTCTAACATTCTGCTTAAACTTTGTGATATGTAATAGTACTGTTTGGACTTTGAAGAAGGGGACATACCCCGAAAGCTTGTCCTCAAAATTGTATGTTAGTGCAAATAAAAAAAAAGTATCACGGACAGTACTCAATTGTTTCATCCGCAACTAATTCCTGGTATGATATTCACATGTTTATATTTGCATGAATTTAAGGAGGCACTCCTTTGCTATTGATATGACATTGTATGTATATTATATATGAGGTATCTGCCAATGTACCTTTAACTTTTTAAATTAATTTTGTATTTCTCCACTGTGCCTATGGAGGGTGCCATGATTGCACGTCTGCCTTTGTTCTTCTCAATTACATGGTAAACGGATGGGGCAAATAGTTTACACAGAAATGTTTGTGTTTTTTTTACAGCTCACAGAAGGTGACAAGGATGTTGCATTTTTGGCTAGGCTAATGGGTATTTCCTACACCTGCCGAAAATGTTCTAAGCCTGAAAAATGAAAACCACTGCGGCCACCACATTTTACAGACTTGTAAACTGCAATATATGAATTTTTTGGGTTTGGATACAGTTTAAGCCCCTATTTACACTTGGGCATTTTTCTGCTTGTTTTCCTACAGCTGACTAAGCAGATTCCTATTATTTCTAATTGTTTCTGTTCACACTTGTACGCTTAATCACCCTATGCTCAAAAAAAGTAAGAACTTCTTACTTTTTTCTTCAGCATCTGAATTTGATCCCATAGACTTCACTGGGCATGCCTGTAAACACATGATACGTGTGTTTTCATGCCTGAAGATTTCCTCTTCTCCTATAGAACTCCTCTTCTCAGCCAAACAATCTCTTGAAGCTTGATACACCTGCAAAAATGCCTGTAATATTCCAGGAATACATTCTGCTCAGGTGTGAATACAGGCTAAGATGTTGAATGGTTCCACACTCCTGCCAACAGGGTGGGACTATAATAGCGTGCTCAAGTATATTCCTAAAATCTGCATCCAAACTGAATGGCCTATCCAGTGCATCCAGCCTCTTTACTAAGGGTTTGGAATAAGAATGAGGTCTATCTGTCAGTATGGAGCTCAGTCCTAATAGTTTTCAGGCTAGGTTCACATCTATGCAGATTGTGCGATTTCACAGCAGGTTTTGCGTTTTTGAACATGCTCTTTGCCACTTTTTTATGCATTTTGTGTTTTTTTTTTTTTTTTTCTTTAATGGCGGGGGGTCCCCCCCCCAAATCCATTGCAAAATCCTATCCGAGCACGCAGCCTGGCAGGCTGAAAACTTAACCCTAACATCTAACTCTAACCAAGCCCTGAACCCTAACATTTTAATCCAACTCTAGTCCTTAACCCTAACATGCAACTTTGGAAAAAATATAGGTTCATGCACTACTTTGATGCTACTTGAGTGTCAGAGAATGTAAAGTCGCATCAAAGTCGCACTACTTTCCTATTAGCAAAAAAATAAAAAAAAAGTCACTTTGGACATATAAAGGTTTCTACTTTTATGCTACTTGAGTGCCAGAGAGTGTACAGTCGCATCAAAGGTGCACTACATGAACATCACATGCATTTTTGATGTGGTTCCATTGAAGTCTATTGCACAAAAAACACAATCTGCTGCAGGAAAAACTCCCTGACCCTTTCAAAAAATGCACTGGCCCGAAACGCACAGATGTGAATCAGATCCATAGGAAATCATGTTAAAAGGACTGTAGTGTGTTTCTGCAAACTGGAAAACTCACTGAAATCCACATACAGTATCACATTTTTGTAAATATTTTATTATATCTTTTCATGTGACAACACTGAAGAAATGACACTTTGCTACAATGTAAACTAGTGAGTGTACAGCTTGTATAACAGTGTAAATTTGCTGTCTCCTCAAAATAACTCAACACAGCCATTAATATCTAAACTGCTGGCAACAAAAGTGAGTACACCCCTAAGTGAAAATGTCCAAATTGGGCCCAAAGTGTCAATATTTTGTGTGGCCACCATTATTTTCCACCACTGCATTAACTCTCTTGGGCATGGTGTTCACCAGAGCTTCACAGGTTGCCACTGGAGTCCTCTTCCACTCCTCCATGACGACATCACGGAGCTGGTGGATGATAGAGACCTTGTACTCCTCCACCTTCCATTTGAGGATACCCCACAGACGCTCAATAGGGTTTAGGTCTGGAGACATGCTTGGCCAGTCCATCACCTTTACCCTCAGCTTCTTTAGCAAGGTAGTGGTCGTCTTGGAGGTGTGTTTGGGGTCGTTATCATGTTGGAATACTGCCCTGCGCCCAGTCTCTGAAGGGAGAGGATCATGCTCTATTTCAGTATATCAAAGTACATGTTGGCATTCATGGTTCTCTTAGTGAACTGTAGCTTCCCAGTGCCGGCAGCACTCATGCAGCCCCAGACCATGACACTCCCACCACCATGCTTGACTGTAGGCAAGACACACTTGTCTTTGTTCTCATCACCTGGTTGCCACCACACATGCTTGACACCATCTGAACCAAATAAATTTATCTTGGTCTCATCAGACCACAGGACATGGTTTCCGGTAATCCATGTCCTTAGTCTGCTTGTCTTCAGCAAACTGTTTGCGGGCTTTGTTGTGCATCAAATAGGTCTGCATGGCTGTTGTCCCAGAAGGAAGAGGCTTCCTTCTGGGACGTCAGCCATGCAGACCAATTTGATGCATTGTGAGGTGTATGGTCTGAGCACTGACCCCTTCAACCTCTGCAGCATTGCTTGCAGCACTCATATGTCTTTTTCCAAAAGACAACCTCTGGATATGACGCTGAGCATCTGCTCTCAACTTCTTTGGAAGTCCATGGTGAGGCCTGTTCTGAGTGGGCCTGTCCTGTTAAACCACTGTATGGTCTTGGCCACCATGCTGCAGCTCAGTTTTAGGGTCTTGACAATCATTTTATAGCCTAGCCCTAGGCCATCTTTATGTAGAGCAACATTTCTTTTTTTCAGATCCTCAGAGAGTTCTTTGCCATGAGGTGCCATGTTGAACTTTCCAGTGACCAGTATGAGAGAGTGAGAGCGATAACACCAAATTTAACACACCTGCTCCCCATTCACACCTGAGACCTTGTTACACTAACGAGTCACATGACACTGGGGAGGGATAATGGCTAATTGGGCCAAATTTGGACATTTTCACTTAGGGGTGTACTCACTTTTGTTGCCAGTTTAGACATTAATGGCTGTGAGTTGAGTCATTTTGAGGGGACAGCAAATTTACACTGTTATACAAGCTGTCCACTCACTACTTTACATTGTAGCAAAGTGTAATTTCTTCTGTGTTGTCACATGAAAAGATATAAAATATTTACAAAATGTGAGGGGTGTACTCACTTCTGTGGAATACTGTAAGTGTGAACCTAGGGTGAAACGCTATATCCACTTTTGCAACAGGGTCCCACTTTACAGTACAGTGTGGAAATAAAGGGTTGGAAGATGGACTGGTACATCAAATGAAGGTTGCACAGTCAACTCTCTTGTTTACATAACTCTTTAAAGCAAACATAAATGGTAATGGATGCATTTTAAATGTTTTCTCATTGTAAGATTTGACAATACAGAACCATGCAGTATACCTTTCCCATGGATGTTAACAAGTGGAAATCTATGGTTTCTCTGTGCCTTAGTATTCGAAGAATCCCATCAAGATATACTTGATCTTTGCTAAAACAGCCTACAAAGATGAAGAAAATGTTTAGAACTAAAACATATTAAGGGAAAAAAAATTGTGGCATAGCATATTAATTATGGTATTTTCCACAAAAAGTGGAGCTATAATTCAGACACCACTGTAATAGGGCTGTTAAAGATGAACATGGATTGAATGGGATACCAATTAACATTTGAAGCAAGCAAAATTCAATCACTTTGTTTCAGATAGGCAATAGAGGATCGCAGGCAACAGAAGCAGTCCTAACTGCTAATACCTCATAAGGTTTTTGGAAAAGTAAAGTCAACAAGTCACCTTCCCAGAGCTTCTTGGATCCTTAAAACCATTCTCAGGATAGGATTCCTGCCTCTCCCCAACTTGAGCAGTGCAGATGGGAGTGCATGTGTTCCCCATTTCACTATCCCGGTCAAAAAAATTGAAGAAGAGACTCAGCATGGACCCAGCAAAGGACAAGGATGTTGTTGGATAATTGATTTAAATAAATTAAGAATATTAAAATGGTATATTAGGTGTTTGTGGGTGTCTTGTTAAACTATTGGTATACTTGCACACAGTGCAAGCACCCTCTCATATACTAAAGCAGATTTAGGCTGGTAGCAGCATGGTATGGGCCAAGTGCTTGTTGCCTGCTGTGCAGGTAGTGAAAGCAATGTCTTAGGTAAATCAGACAGCAGACTTTCACAGAAATCAGGGCACCTCAGAAGATTGGAAAACAATCTATATTTACTTTGTTCCATCAAGTACTGAATTCCTGTGTGCAAGTTAACCTGGCCATACCTGGTCAAATTTTGGCCAGGTTAAACTGATCAATATTTGCTTAGTGGGTGTCCCTTTGGTACCCTTCCACCCAACATTCTTTGAAAAATCAAAAGATCTGATGTTCAGGTATTCTGACAGCTGCTAGCAGAATGGAAGACTTTGTATGATTTGTCAGCCTTAGAAAGCCTCCTAGGACTCCATATCACTGCACTCAAATCACATCCTAAAAACCTTCCTGAAGTTTGCATCCTTGATAATATGGACAGCCCTGAAATGTATTTTCAGATGCAACTAGTGTATCTGATTTTATTTTCTTAAAAGAGAAGTATGGGTCTTGTTTTTTTTTTTCCCTAAATCATACTCAGCATCGGTCCAATGCTGGATCGGCCCCCTGCCGGCTCCAAGTGTGAGAACTCAGCGATGAGCACTGATCGCCGAGTTCTCAAAGCCACTCTGAGCAGAGAGTGGTGACTGTCAGTCACCGCTGTCTGCTCTGCGCCCCCCCCCCCCCCCAGTGCACACTGGAGCGTTGGGCTGTGGAGGGGGCAGCTGGCTCAGGCTCTCAATGGCTGAGCCAGGTGCCGCTCCAGACACTTTGGGATCTTTCACCAGCCTGGACTGGCTGAATGACATCAGCCAACAGAAGGCTTCAGCCCGCTGTCAATTGAAAACGGGTCACAGGATTGCAGAATGAACTGCACTCCTGTGATACACAGGAGCAGTACAGCCAAAAGAGCTTTGGCTGTACTGCTCCTTTAACAGCCTCCTGTACATTCCCTGGACAGCAGTACTGACTGGGAATGGAAGGCCAGCACTGGTAGCCAATTAGACTCTGCTGCAATTCAAGGCAAAGTAACAGCAGGCCTGGTCTACCTCTGGTACATACGTTTTACTTGCTGCATTGCCCCATTCACCTGCTGAAGCCCCCTGAGCTTACACAAGTGGCTGCTCAGGCACTGAGCAATGTATTATGAAAGGAATGTGAGTCCCAAGTCTACCTATCCCCAGAAGTACCAATGTTTTAGAGTTTCAACAGGCAAAAAAGGTAGCAGGGGAGCGCATGGAAGATAAACACCAGCAGAGCAGGACGTCTGGTATGCTTTTAGCTGATTATTTGCATGTGTTTTTCAAAATGTTATATAAGGTAATAACGGGCGCAAGGCGGTTCTCTCGTTCTGGGAGGATGTCATATGACGTCCTCCCATTCTAACCGCGCATGCGTGGCTCCGGGGGCGTGCAGCGCAGCGATTGGTGGTTCGCTTTGTCCCTCAGACACAGCGGATCACCGATCAACAGAAAGAGCTGAATATGTCGGCTTGGTCATGTGATCAGCTCTGTCCAATCACAGCTGATCACATGTAAATAGGGAAATTCCGGTTATCGGCATTTCTCTCCTCATGAGCTCTCACGCTGCCAGCTCGAGATGAGTGGAGAGCCAGTAATCGGCATTCCTTGGAGGGAACATGGGCACTCACCATCAGGGCACTGATGATCAGTGTGCCCTGATGATCAGTGTGGCCCCAGAAGTGCACCTGTCAGTGCCCATCAATGCCAGCTGTCAGTGCTCATCAATGCCACCTGCCAGTGCCTCATCAATGCCACATATCAGTGCCTACCAGTGCACATCAATGCCACATATAAGTGCCCATCTGAGCTGCCTTTCAGTGTCACCTATCAGTGCCAGTCAGTGCCACCTATCAGTGCCAGTCAGTGCTGCCTATCAGTGCCAGTCAGTGCCACCTAACAGTGCCGCCTGTCAGTGCCACCTAACAGTGCCGCCTATCAGTGCCAGTCAGTGCCGCCTATCAGTGCCATATATGAGTGCTGCCTTTCAGTGCCCATCGGTGATGCCTGTCAATGCCCATCAGTGGCACCTACTAGTGCCTCATCAGTGCAGTCTATCAGTGTCCATCACGGCAGCCTCATTAGCGCACATCAGTGAAGGAGAAAAATCACTTATTTACAAAATTTTACAACAAAAACTAAGGGAAAAAACATGGGTTTTTTTCTAAATTTTCAGTTGTTTTTGGTTTGTTTAGAAAAAAAAAAATAAAAAAAACCCAGACGTGATTAAATACCACCAAAAAAAAGCTGTATCTGTCTCAAAAAAATGATAAAAATTTCATATGGGTACAGTGTTGCATGACCGCACAATTGTCATTCAAAGTGTGACAGCGCTGAAAGCTGGAAATTGGCCTGGACAGGAAGGGGGTATAAGTGCCCTGTAGGCTAGTGGTTAAAGGGTGATTTGACTGAAAAAAGGTTGAGAAACATTGATCTAGGGTGTCTGCTTTAAGAAAAATATAATGTTTGGGGGTTTTGTGTAATCTTCAGGCCTAAAATGATTTTTAAACGTGTGCACAAAAAAATGCAAAAATGGCTCTGGCAGTGAAAGGGCTATAAAAATTTCATATGGGTACAGTGTTGCATGACCGCGCAATTGTCATTCAAAGTGTGACAGCACTGAAAGCTGAAAACTGGCCTGGGCAGGAAGGGGGTATAAGTGCCCTGTAGGCAAGTGGTTAAAGAAAACTCCAGTTCCCCCAACTAATGTAAAATCATTTTTACATTTACCTGGTTGTGATGTGTCAGTACAGCCCCTCTTTGCCCGTACACAGTAATCCCAGCGAGTGTTTGGATCTTTGACAAACTGCCCCACATCCTGGAACAACTCACTGAAAGACATGTGGCTGGCTTGGTACACAGTGTAATATAGAAAAGCAGCCCTCCACAGGAAGGGATCCTTGCGAAATAAGACACTGTGTATGCTTGCAAGACCTTCTTCTGTTGGGTTGACTGGCTTTAATCCATACTTCTTCCGACCACTGACGTTATTCCAAGGTTGCTGATTATTGTTCATCCCTCGAAAATAATGGGTGCCTGTAGGAAAAAAAAATCATGATTGGCATAATATGACAACTGATTTTTGTTGTACTGACTGCATGTATGTGCTTATTTAGGTGCACCAAGGGTAATCGCCTACTCAACTCTCCAGTCCCTACTCATCACTATTACACATAATTATTCTACTTCACATTGCATAATAGCCTACAGGCTACGTGTTCAGTTTCTTCTCCATGCAACAGCCCTGTATTCAGAACAACAGTTCATGCCTGTGCACCACATTTCTAGAGCAAGCAATGGTGCCGTTATTTCAGCTAAACATACTGCATTGGTTTTGTTTTTTTCTAAAGCTGCCTATTTATGATTTTTGCATATGTGTGCCAGTAGCCAAACTGTGCACTTGCAGGCGTGCTAAAAGAAAACAAGATTCAGAGGTGCCCCACAATCTACTACAGTAGTAAAAAAAGGTTTTTGGTTAGGCACTGCTCGTATAGCCGTACATTTGCTCCTGGATAGCAAGGCTCAGGCATATTGATATGGCACTCAGGCCTTGGTTATTGCACTGTGGGATGGGGGTTCAGGGGATATATACTTTCTCCACTGTCAGCAGGAGGAAGGGGTGCCCCAGGCAGTAGAGAGCCTACACACTGTTGCAGGAGATGCAGCTCTTATTTTATTCAAGAAGCTTTAAAGTCTGAAGGTTTTATACCTTAATGCATTCTTGATATGAAAGCAAAAAGCTCTCCACTACCTGTCCTACCCCCATCCCTAAACACTTACCTGGCTCCTGTCATCACTCCAAAATGGTCTTTGGCTCCAGCACCGCTCCCCTCACTTCCAGCTTTCAAAGGAGAAACTGAGGGCAGCAGAGCCTCATGTTTCTCTCAGTCAAACTCCTGTGAAGAGGGAGCAGGGGTGTGAGTTACCAGAGCTGTGTGTGTCTATAGATGCTCGCAGTTTACCAGCAGTAGGGAAAGCTGGCAGCGTTGGTGGGGGACTGCCAGAAGAGGAGGTAATGGAATGGACCTCTCTGCACAATATTGTTGGTAAGTATTATCTCTTTTTATTTGAAACCTTTAGTATCATTTTAACCGCTTGACGCCAAGCGTACACAAATTAGTAGCCTCACAGAACTGGCTTTTTTCCATGGGGCGACTAATTTGCGTACCTGTTTTTGCACTGGGAGCGCGCCGCATGGCACGCTCCTAGCACAAAAACCAGAGTGTCAGTGAAAGCCTCGGGTCCTGTTCTGATTGGCTATCACAGTGAGCAATCAATACCAAATTAAAAAAGAAAAAAGCGCCACTTACAAAAACCACCAAAGTGTCAGCAGCATATCCCACCCAAAATAAATTTTGGCAACAATAATCCTAATTAAAGGTATGCGCTAGTAATAAACTTATACAAAGGTGTATATCATCATCCAAAAAACATTTAGTGTTTTATTATTATTATTTATTTAAAACACTAAATGTTTTTTGGATGATGATATACACCTTTGTATAAGTTTGTTACTAGCGCATACCTTTTAAAATTAGGATTATCACAGTGAGCAGTCACTGTGAAGCCCGCCCCCCCCCCCCTCCCCCCCTCCTGTTTTCTCTCTCTGAATGGAAGAGAGAGATACATTGCATCTCTCTCTGTCCTTTAAAAAAAAAAGTGTGTTTTAAAAAAGAAATAAATAAAAATAATTTAAAAATAAATAATACCTAGATCAAGGTTTGATCTAGGTCAGTGCCAGGGTTAGTGTTTGGGTGAAGATCAGGATTTTTTTTTTTTACGTTTAAATTAGTATCAGTGTTAGTTAGTGGCAGGATAAAAAAAAAACAAAATTCGCACTATTGTTTGTTATGTTACTACGTGTACAACTAACAACTAGCATATGGTATCAATCGTCAGGAGCAGGAAGCAATTTTTTTTTGTTCTTTGGTGGTTGGTTATGGTAGTAGCAAGAAATATACAGGTAAATTTTAACAAAAGTGTTTTTACTATTTTGGTGGTAAATGGTAATGGATATCTCCAGATTTTTTTTTTTTTTTCAAAGGAAAACTAACCCAAATTAAAGCCCAAGTTGTCCTGAAAAAAAGCATGCTATAATCCACCTGGATGTAGTTGTATGTACGGTTTTGCTAACACATGTCAAACTTGTGCTTATGCTTTAAGATTTGTTTTACCCTTAGGTGTGAAGGGGTAAAGCGGAACATTCACTTATCCTCCTCCTCTCTTCTGTCTCTCTCTTTATTACTACCTACAGTGAAGGAAATAAGTATTTGATCCCCTGCTGATTTTGAATGTTTTCCCACTCACAAAAAAATGATCAGTCTAAAAATCAAATGGTAGGTGTATTATAACACAGAGACAGAATAGCAACAACAAATTTTAAAGAAATGCATGCCTAACAAATGATGCACTGATTTGCATGTTCATGAGGGAAATAAGTATTTGATCCCCTTCACAAAAAATGACTTAGTACTTGGTGGCAAATCCTTTGTTGGCAACCACAGAGGTCAGATGTTTCCTGTAGTTGGTCACCAGGTTTGCACACATCTCAGGAGGGATTTTGGCCTACTCCTCTTGGCAGATCCTCTCCAAATCATTAAGGTTTGGTGGCTGACGTTTGGCAATTCGAACTTTCAGCTCCGTTCACAGATATTCAGTCGGATTAGGGTCTGGAGACTGGCTAGGCCACTCCAGGACCTTATTGTGCTTCTTCTTGAGCCACTCCTTTGTTGCCTTGCTTTGGGTCATTGTCATGCTGGAACACCCATCCACGACCCATTTTTAATGCCCTGGGTGAGGTGAGAAAGTTCTCACCCAAGATTTGGCAGTACATTGCTCCGTCCATCGTCCCTTTGATGCGATGCAGTTGTCCTGTCCCCTTAGCAGAAAAACACTCCCAAAGCAGAATGTTTCCACCACCATGTTTGACAGTTGGAATGGTGTTCTTGGGGTCATAGGCAGCATTTCTTCTCCTCCAAACACGGTGAGTTGAGTTGATGCCAAAGAGCTCGATTTTGGTTTCATCTGACCAGAACACTTTCAACCAGTCCTCCTCTGCATCATTCATATGTTCACTGGCAAACTTCAGATGGGCCTGGACATGTGCTTTCTTTAGCAGAGGGACTTGCAGGCACTGCAGGATTTCAGTCCTTGTCGGCGTAGTGTGTTACCAATTGTTTTCTTGGTGACTTTGGTCCCAGCTGCCTGGAGATCATTGACAAGATCCTCACGTGTAATTCTGGGATGATTCCTCACTATTCTCATAATCATTGACACTCCACAAGGTAAGATCTTGCATGGTGCACCAGACCTAGGGAGACTGACAGTTGTTTTGTGTTTTTTCCATTTGAGAATTATTGTACCAACTGTTGTCTCCTTCTCACCAAGCTGCTTGGTGATAGTTTGGTAGCCCAGTCAAGCCTTGTCTACAGTCTTGTCCCTGACATCCTTGGACAACTTTTTGGTCTTTGCTATGGTGGAGAGTTTAGAATCTGATTGTTTGATTGCTCCTGTGGACAGGTGTCTTTTATACAGGTAAAAAAATGAGATTAGCAGCACTCCCTTTAAGAGGCTGCTTCTAATCTCAGCTTGTTACCTTTATGAAAGACACCTGGTAGCCAGAAATCCTGCTGAATGATAGGGGATCAAATATCCCTCATGAACATGCAAATCAGTGCATAATTTGTTAGACATTCATTTCTTCTGAATTTTTGTTGCTATTCTGTCTCTCAGTGTTACATTACACCTATCATTCGATTTTTAGACTGATCATTTCTTTGTGAGTGGGCAAACATTCAAAATCAGCAGGGGATCAAATACTTATTTCCTTCACTGTAGTTTTGACAGATACCTGCTCCCACTTTTTTTGGGAACGCCTAGGCAATCCAGGCAAAAGTTCTCCTCCACCTCCTTCCCTGCCCGCAGCCTCCTGGGACATGTGAAAGGATCCCAGGAGGCTGCAGAATCATTTACAGAGCGCACTGTATCTTGCACATGCAAAGTGGGGAGTCGGCTGTGAAGCTGCAGGGAGTCACAGCCAGCCTCCCACAGTCTCCACTGTGGTGCTGGAGACCCAAAAACTGGTTAAGAACCGGCCCAGGTGAAGATAGAGCTGGATCCCCGGGCTTGTATGTGTCTTTTTTTTATCACAAGTCAGCAGCTACAGTATTTGTAGCTGCTGACTTTTAATTTTTTTAAACCTGACTGAAGCTCCTCTTTAAGTCCTGATTGGCTACAATGGATGATTTGCAAACCATCTCTTTTTACAATATATATTTCAGTAAGCCAGCATAAGTTTCACTGAGGAACACCAAAGAGAACAATAGATGGAAGAAGTATATGAATACTCATTAACATATTCTGCTAAAGATGAAGCAATATAAGAAAATAGGAATTGCAGAGAGATAAAAATAGAAACAGTGACAACTCCCACATTCCTCAATGACAACACCCTGGAATGTGCTGGGCAATGGAGGTTTGTTAGTGAAAATAAAAATCTATTCTAGTTTATATCCTAGTCACATGAGGATTATTTCATACATCCAATTTGTTTGTCTAAACCAGCCTTTCTCTCAGCCTTTTCATCTCAGAGGAACCCTTGCAATAACTGTCGGCCTCAGAGAACCCCTGCTAAAAATTACTATAACTCTTGATAGATCAGTGTGGTGGTCAGTGGGAAGAATGCTCCTTACACATGTGGTCATTGGGAACAAAAATCCCCTTACAGATAACTAAAAAGATCAATGGTGTCACTGGGTACTTATCTGAGAGGAAGAAATTGCTTATTGCTCAAGAAACCCCAAGCAACCTCTCAAAGGAACCCTACAGTTCCATAGATAAACCATGAATTGGGGATACTAGATAAAAAATTCTTAGTTGTGCATGTTTTACTGAATGTTTTCAACTATAATAAAATTCAACCACATGGCTATAAAAATGTAGTGATAACCTTAAAAACTGCTAAATGGATTAATGTTATGTACTACTAAAAATTCCAAGCCATGAGACATTTGGAGCTGTTACAGGGAAGTTGACCTGGTCTAGTCAGTTATTTTTGCAATTGAAAAAAAATGGGTGAAGTTGCATAAAATCATTGGTGTTTATGCCCAGTATGTATTCTGCTACATGTGTTTGGTAAACAAAAAATCTCAATATATGTATGTTAATTGGTTTGTGTGAAAGTTATAACGTCTACAAACTATGGTATATATTGGAATTTACGTAGCTTTTACTTTCTGACTGCCTATCACATTTCTTGAGGTGCTAAAATGCCAGGGCAGTACACCCCCCCCCCCCCCCCACCCCATGCATGCCATGAGTATATGTGCAATAACACCCCAAAACATATTCTTCTACTTCTCCCGAGTATGGGGATACCACATGTGAGAGATGTTTTGGCAGCCTAGCTCTATACAGGCCCCCGAAATCCAATGACCACCTCCAGGCTTTCAAAGGGCATATTCCCTCATATCACTTCCCCACTACCTTTCACAGTTTCGAAGGCCCTAAAATGCCAGGATAGTACAAACATGTTTATTATTGATAGGCGATGCTTTACAAGCATTTACAGGTCACCAATTTTTATTTACACAGGAGGTCTAGTGCTAGACTTACTGCCTTCGATCTGACGTTCGCAGCGATATCTCACATGCATGGTGCAACCGCTTTTTACATACCGAAATAGGGTCAATGCTTGCACACACAAAGGGTGCTTTTTTTTTTTTTCTTTTTAGTTATTTTGATTTTTTAAATTATTTTTACACTGTCCCTTTCTTTCTTTTTTTAAATCACTATTATTGCTATCACAGGGAATATAAATATCCCCTCTGACTGCAATAGGCATTGACAAGTATTTATTTATTTTTTTTTAGAAATCTGGGGTCTATTAGACACTAGGGGGTTTATTTACTAAAGCTAGAGAGTCCAAAATCAGACTCCCTTCTGCATAGAAACCAATCAGCTTCCAGGTTTCATTGCCAAAGCTTCATTGAACAAGCTGAGGCTAGAAGCGGATTGGTTTCTATGCAGAAGGGAGTCTGATTTTGGACTCTCCAGCTTTAGTAAATAAACCCCTAGATATCTCCCCTGCCCTTACATTATCTGATCTCACCAAGATCAGTGTGATCAGATGCTTTCCCAATTTACAAATGGCGCTGTTTATATTCTGCGAAACGGAAGTAATGAAATGCTAGTAGCTTTCGATTTCTTAGACTATAGAGATGATTGGAGCCATTCTGGTCTCTGATCAGCCCTATGGTCAACCAGCGGATCTGCTGGCTGCATTCTCAGATTCCTCTGTGGTACAGGAGAGCCCATGAAAACCGTGGAAGGCGGCAGGAAGAGGGGGGGGGGGGGGATGTCCCTTCCCGCTGCTCGTAAAAACAATTCAGCAGCTAATTGGCCACTAGGATTGTAGGATTGCTTTTACATGAAAGCCGACCGCCATCTGAAAGAAAAACAATACCAGGCATCATCCCAGTTTAACCACTCAAAGTCCAGTGACGTACCAGTACATTGCTGGTCCATGTTGGGCATATATGTAACAGTAGAGAACATGGGCATATGATGAATCGGGTCTGTGGACCAATATGACCGCAATTCATTCTTTTTTGTAATGTCCATGTTGAGGGTTAGGCCCAAAAAAGTTTTAAATTCAGAAACTGTGATAGGTTTCCATGCGAATTGTCTGACAAGAGCTGAATTTGGGTGGGCGGTGATGTATTGTTGTGCTTATAAATTGCTTTGGCCACAATCAATTGGTACAAATCTTCTGTGAAAAACAGCAGAGGGGCTAAACGCTAGTGCTGGCAGTGAACAGGGCTGATCCTGCTAACACTGCGTTTTTGGGGACACTATACAAAGCAGACACCAGTATAGTTCTGTTCATGATCATTATATTGATCCGTACAAACACTATACTAGTAATGGCGGTGATCAGTGACCTATAGTGTGAGTGTGATAGTGCATGGGCAATCTAACGCTAGCTGACCCTGGCTGGGAGGGGCGCTAACTGACCATGACGTTATCTGATGTCGCTAGTGGCAGGAATGCAGTGATCAGTGAAAAATTCTATATACTGACACTGTACTAATGGCACTGGCTGGGTGACGGGGCGATCACAGGGTTAATAGGGGTGATCAAAGGGTTATATGTGCTAATCTAACGTGTGTGTGTAAAATCTAGTGTTTTTACTCAGTGCCATGTTCTCTCTTCTCTCCCTGGACCGACGCATGAGGGTGCAGGCGCGTTCACACCCCAAAACAGGAAGCAATGCAAAATTATGTCGCTTTGCCAAGAGCTGCTGCTCTCCCGCAAAATGCAGGTATGCGATTGGCAAGTAGTTAAGAAAAGAAAACCTTAACATTTTTTTTTTTTTTTTTTAAATTCTCAATATGGTGTATTTTATTATTTTTTTTAACTTTTTTTGTAATACTTTTATCAGAATAGTACAATGTTACCATAGTAATTTTTTTTTGCTCTTTGCTTTGCAGGAGAAATAAAGATCATTTCTCCTGCAATGCAAAGCTTGCTATCATGAACCCAACTCATTCATGAACTGTCATGAATGAGTTAGGTTTTTGAAAGCTCAAGATAGTGATCTGTGATTGGCTGGAGCTGGTCACATGGTACAGAGTGCTCTGATTGGCCCCATGTATCGTGACAGCTGTGGGCCAATCACAGCTCACTAGGAAGAGAAGCAGAGCTGTTATGAATGAGAACAATTCATTACAGCTTTGCTTACATTGTGATTATGTGATCGCATAGCAATCACATGATCCCAAGGTCCCGTTCACAGGGATCTTCATTCCGCTTGTCCGGCGGACACAGCAGTTGCGGGGGGGAGCACCCTGTGTTAGTACAGCCAAGGTGACGTACCGGTACGTCACTTTGCCTGTAGTTGCTGCCTGGCCACAGTACATTGCAGGCGTGCGGGAAGCGGTTAAAGTGCATGCTTTGAGAAAACTGTTAAAAGAAGCATGGATTTTTATGAAGAAAAAAACATACTCACCTAGGTGGATGGAGCATTGATCCGATGCTGCATTTGTCTCCCGCTACCTCTGTAGTGAGAACTGAGCGACAAACACCTCCGATCACTCAGTTTCTCCCTCTCTGGTCTGAGCAGAGAGCCATGACTGTCGGTCACTGGAGTACTGGGCTATGGAAGGGGGCTGGAGGGACTATCTCAGGCTGTCAGTGGATCGCTGAAAGGCTGAGCCAGGTGCTAGTCCAGGCTTCTGGGTGGATCCCGACCATATAGTCGAGATCTTTTCAGAGCCTGGACTGGCTAAGTGACATCAGCTGACAGAGCTTATAGCAAAAAAGCTTTGCCTATACTTCTTTAATCAGCTAATATTTGGTGGGAAGGGGTGGTAACAGACACCAAGGGGTGTATTTATTTAAAAAAAAAAAACATTGCATGGCTGTTTGTTTATTGAAACTGTATATAAATGTGTCCTGTGCAAATGGAGCAAAATCAAATATTCTCAAATTATATTCTCTACAGATTGTGAATATGTGAGTGTGGAAAATATCTCATTATGGCCTCTTAATGGACCCTCAGCAACAACAACAGATCTCCCAGCAGCCAGCCATCAATAGACTCTCCAGTAGCCTCTTCCATAGGCACAAACCTACAGGTTCTGCCAATGCAAACTTGCAAGTTTACCATCCAAAATATGGAAGCATGGCTGGCCATCATATAGTGTTTTATAGGCAGCTTTAGTCAAGCTATACCTTGGTGATCAGAAATTAGCACCTACCTATTTCATGTCTGAGCATCCCTTCAAGCCACTGTTCTCGTGCAGTAGAAATGTTGATAGTCAATGTTGGACGTCCATTGACAACTGTCATGGAAGCTCGTGAAAGTAAATCCTCTGTAAGGTGAACTACAATCTGGAACATAGAAAATAATTATGTCAGTCTGCATTCCAGCAGTTTATTTTCCCATAAATCATTATCTCCAGGATTGAAGGAGCCAAAATATTTATCTTACTAAACATTGACTGTCAAAAGCAGCAGGTAAGCTCCAGTAGGGATGGGGATAATTTGCTGATTTTTAATTTCTCAAATATAAAGAACTGAGAACATAGCTGTTACTGAGTCACAACTTCAGCATATATACAGTATATAAGCTCATGATTAAAACTAACCTCTAGGATGATATCAAAGACATAAATTAATGTATTTTTTTAACTGTACAGGAGAACTCAGAGTGGGAGAAGAAAAAGCAGCTCAAGCAGCCAGTCAGTTACTGCGCTGACAAAGAGCATGCTGATAGGATAGGAGGAGAAAGCAGAGCGACAGAAAGATGAGCTCATCTCTGTGCTGTGTCTCCTTCACTGTTCAGTCTCCACCTGGTCTCAGAGAAAGTGAAATGAATAATTAATGCAGGCCATCAGTCAACCTGGAACATGGAGGACATCTTATGGTGGAAAGTAAGTACTGTGGTGAAACGTTTTTGATTAAAGATGAGTATTACAGCCTATTCATGTTTTAGGGTGTTTGACTATAGTTCATCTTTAATCTATGCTATCTAGTATGTTTTCTTTTTAAAGCACACGTAAAAGGCAAAACTTTTTTTGGTTAGTTTTGGAGAAAATGGGTATTGTTAGGAAAGGGTTTCCTTGCTGGGAAAATTCACCATTCTATTTGTTTGCTTGACCATTCTCACCATCACAGAAAGTGAGGAAATCCTTAATTTTGGAGTTTTCACCAAAAACGTGAGAACAAAACTTCCAATGGGGACACCTGTTGAGGGGACAACTTTTTAAGAGGAAAATAACCCTTATTTTGTAGAGATTCCTCTGATTTCCTTTGGCATCTCCAGGACATGAAGTAAAGGGAAATCTCCCTAACCCTAGGTTCACACCTATACAGGTTGCATTTGAGCCATTTCTGCATTGCGTTTTTTGCACCTGCGGTTTTGCCGTGTTTTTAATGCGTTTTGCGTTTATTTTTTTCCATTTTTATTGTTGCTAGGCAGATTAAAAAACGCAGCAAAAACGTACTACATTCTTTTCTGCAGAGTTTCTATTGAAGTCTATAGAACCAAAAACTGAACTTTTTGCATTAAAAAAAGTCCCTGAGCGACCCTTTCCAAAAAATGCACTGAGTGAAAACGTTCAGATGTGAATTTGTCCCATAGGAAAACATGTTAAATGGAATGTACTGCATTTCTGGAAACCGTTAAATGCTGCGGAAAACACTTAGGTGTGAACCTAGGGTAAAGGGCAGAGAAAGGCAGGTTTTGCCTTTCTTTTAAAGCAAAGATCAGAGACTCTGATTTTGGCCCCTTTCACACAGGGCAGACCCGTTAGCGGACCCACTTGCTTAGCGGGGATCTGTCTACTAATCCTTGCTGAGCAAGCAGATGGCAGGTCCTTGTCTGCTCTGCTGCTACAGACCAGACACAACACAGCCTGCTAACCTCTATGGGCAGTTAGATGGAAACAGACCGCCTGACCGTTTCCATCTGACTGTCATCCCATCCGTCTCTTTTTGGCAGATCCAATCAGATTGGATGCAGGTGGGTGTAAACAGACACATGTCTGTTTACACCGGCAGCTCCATAGAGGAGAATAGAGGTTCTGATCAGGCCTGCCCGAAAAACGGGCAGGCGCACCCAGTCGGTACGTCCGTGTGAAAGGGGACATAATCTACTACATGCACACATTGGGAGAGGTCTACTAAAACTGGAGCACTCAGAATCTGGTGCAGCTGTGCATGGCAGCCAATCAGCTTCTAACTTCAGCTTGTTCAATTAAGCTTCAACAATAAAACCTGGAAGCTGATTGGTTTCTGTGCAGAGTTTCACCAGATTTAGCACTCTCCAGCATTTGCAAATCAACCCCAAAGAGTCTTCCTTTCCCTTATCCTGTCGCTCATCACAGGAGTTACAGGGACCATTCTCTTAAAATGACATCTTCATTCACCAGATTTATTAAAAATGTGTTGCCTGAAACAGCACTTCCCAACATGTATCTTATCTACAAGTACCTTCTAACGCAGTTTGATATTGCCTGTAGTAGTCTCTAAGCTGGTATTTGGTATATTACAATTTGAGCAATTCTGCAAGGCTCACTTTACAATATTGAATTCAAGCAGGCTTTAAATATTTTATACTATAAATTATTAATACACTTTAACATGTTTTCAGGTTGCAATTATTCATGCTTAGTATAGCTTGCCACCAGTTTTTGAGCTTGATCATGACCTCAGAAATAACAGGGACCTAATTTTGAGGCTTCATAATGAGATATCAGTGAAGTTATACATACAATAGGAAGAAATATTAAAGTGGTTCTAAAGGCTCATGGCTTTTTTCCTTCATGTATTCTATGAATGAAGGCAAGAAAACCTTTTATGTGCAGCTGCCCCCCAGCCCTCTTTAATTCTTACCTCAGCTCCCTCCAATCCAGCGACATTCTCAACAGGCTCTGCTGTCTGGGGACTCTTCCTCCTCATTGGCTGAGACAGCTGTGGAAGCCTATTGGCTCCCACTGCTGTCAATCACAGACAGTGAGCCAATGAGGAGAGCGCGGGGAGCGGGGCCGAGCCGCGGCTCTGTGTCTTATGGAAGCATAGAGCAGTGACTCAGGGACGAGCATGCAGCAGTGCCCCCAGGACAAACAGCTTTCCTGGTGGGCACTGCTCGAGGGGGAGGAGCCAGGAATGCCAGCGGGGACCCGAAAAGAAGAGGATTGGGGCTGTTCTGTGCAAATTCACTGCACAGAGCAGGTAAGTATAGACATGTTTCTTATTTTTAAAAAAAGAAAAACAAAGCTTTAGTGTCACTTTAAGTACTGCAAAGATTAAGCCACTTACTTCACCCAAGCAACCTTCTTTTTCCATGTATTTTCGAACCTGGTGCCATATTCGGCTCTTTGGAAGCAGACTGCCTCCAGTAGCTTGCTCAAATTTTTCATAGCTGCCGTATTTTTCCAGTGCTTTCTTCATGATATTAACTGCCTGTGCAAGAACACGACATTATACTGACACTGAATGCAAAACAGCTTTTTTTTAAGATTGTACAAATAACACATGAATAACACAACAGATTGAGAAAGATGAAGAGAGGAACTGAAAAGAAGAGAAAAGAGGAGGAGCACTGTAAAGACTGCAGGGAACTGCCCTGGTTAGATCAATTTGGTATTCTTAACAAACGTATACACGCTGGGTGATTTAGAAACCAAAGGACTGTCACATTGGTTACAGTTGTGTATATTCATTTAACTTACTTCATATATGCTGCAGTAATGGGCAAATTGGATAAAGCTGCTAACAATATCTCAGTATGTACTAACACTTGCATTGTGCTGGTATTGTAGAGTGGGCTACTTATTCTGGTTTGCTGCTGTGCTTTATTTTTATCAGCTGCCTGTTAGGAAACCTTATGTACTTTTATTATACTTTCATACTCTTAGGTTCATAATAGCTGGCAGAATGACTGTAACTAGAGACTAGCAGGAGTATATCCACACAGGACATTGTTAGTCAGTACATGAGAGTCATATGGGAACAGAGATTCAAAATAAGTATGGTCTGGGCCTGGCAGGGGGTCAAGCCAGGCAATTGGATACAAACTCAAGTGGTAGACTGGAAGCATAGTCAGGCTGAAACCAAAAGGTCAGTAAATAAGCCCAGTAGCCAAGTACCATAGATTGAACAAAGACCACAGATACTTGTCTAGAGTTATAGCAAAGAGCTTTAGGTTAGTCCAAGAGCAGTTATGAGAAATAAAGAAACAAGACTGGATGTAAGCAATCAAACATTACTCTACAATGGGCCACCAAGACTAAATGAGCCAAAAGAATGCATGTGTGCAAGAACTGTTTGGAAGCAAAAGGCATGAGGAGAGAAGGAGACTTCAGATGTCCATGCAGGATGAAGACTGCCCATCAGATATACGAACTGCGTATGACCACCTGACACAGAACTATACCACAGCCGGCAATTAAGGCTGGATAATTTTTTGTGTTCAATCGAGAAAAACATTTTCCAACATTCCCATTCGACAAAAGTTAATAATTGGAGTGGTAGTGGCCACACATGGCTTGAAATTCACCAGGTCCCTGCGGAACCGGCTGAATTTCAGTCCATTTATGGGCAGCTTCGAAACCAGCAAGAAACCATCAAATGATCAGCCAGATGAGCAGGCAATAGTCATTTTTCAGAATAACATGGAAAAAAATCCTTCCTCATCTTGACCACAGCTTTTGATGTTTATTCACTTCTCTGCATTATTGAAAGGGCCTGGTTTACATGTATTTCCCATGCCTTGTGTATACAGATGTACAGTATATTTATACATTTTGTTATGCTTTATAAAACTACCAATTTTACTGGTTACTAGAACAGGAAAACACAGATTGTCTAGTGTTTCCTACACATCACCCTCTGCTCTGGGTGTCTGGGAAACATTTGGAATGCTACTGTGCTCTTTTACTACATTTCTTTTAACTCCCTTTGTTGTCACTTTACAGCCATGTCTTTCTTCTGCAAACTTGATGGCCTGTTTGCAAACATAATGTGCCATCTGTGTCTCAATGTTCTGGTTTGTTTATGGGGTACTTCTGTGACATTTCCCATTTACCAAACAAGATGCCATAGAGAGCTGGATCCCTAACGTACCATTTTTCAGGCTTGTTTGGCCTTAGTTAGAGCACCCTATGGAATCCTCCATTCATCTCCCGCTTCTCATATTTTTAAATCAGTTTTTGTGCAATTTACTATCACTCATTTCCCAGAAGCACATAAACAAACTGTAAACAGGTGAGTGAGCACATTTATCTGATGTCAGTATAATGACATGAGGGGGTAGATGAAGTCAAAATATTTAAAATGTAAGTAATTCCATAAATTCCTTACATTTAGATTTTTCCGTTCATCCTGGAAGTTCAGCCAGGCTCGATGGACAATATCCCCTGCTGGGCTACTGTATTCTGACAGCCACAGCCAGCAGCTGTCAGAATGTTTGAATACCTGATTGGATGCAGGCTCTGTTTGGCCAACAATTTCCTACCCGGCTCCTTTGATTTTTCAGTCGACAAATGTCCAGCAAGAGGAGGAACCAACCAAAATTTGCAGTGTTTGACCAGCTTTAAGCTATTTTTGCTCGATCCCACAGATAATCCTCAGGTTGAGAAACAGTCTAATGCATATATAAATATATATATATAAATATATATATATATATATATATATATATATATATATATATATATACTGTGATGAGTACAGACATCCCCTGGATGACTAATTTCTTCTTTAACCCCCTTAGTATTACCTTCCTCTTAAAAAATGCAGAAAAGTTGCATTTAAAATGAGCATGTATTCAATGTTGCATGATAAAATGCACATTTAGTCTTTGTAACTACTAAACCACAAAACACTATAAATGTTCTGAAGGCAAAGAACCTGTAGAAAAAGAGATAGAAGTTGCATTTTTACGTCAAATGATATTTGCACAACTGTTTTTCAAACCTATATTTTTAAGTAAAAAAATACAATAAAAATGATGGTGCACGCAGACATATAAAAAATTGCACGTTATTGAAGACCAATGTAAACTTACTACAATTTATAATCTTCTACAATGATGTACCTCAAAATCTTTTGTAAAATGGTCCCAGTGCATACTGATATTCACCACTGACCAGTGGGATGAGCTGACAACCAACTAATTTTGCTGATACTATCAATACAGAGGACCAATTCATACAGATTAGGGTCCTGCACTGCCTCTATTACACTTTGGAATATAGGTTGGCATTGTTCACTACTGCACACTGCCCTGGATGTATGTCGTGCATCTCCTTGCAGCCAATCACATTCACATACAGTCAGGTCCATAAATATTGGGACATCGACACAATTCTAACATTTTTGGCTCTATACACCACCACAATTGATTTGAAATGAAATGAACAAGATGTTCTTTAACTGCAGACTGTCAGCTTTAATTTGAGAGTATTCACATCCAAATCAGGTGAAAACGGTATAGAAATTACAACAGTTTGCATATATGCCTCCCACTTGTTAACTATCCTGGAAGACCAAATTTTCTTCATCGTACCCCAAACACATGATGTGCAAAGTTTGGGAGTTCTAAATTATTTTTTCCCCATGCATGTATAAGATCCATGTTCCAATCAATACTCTTCTATGCTCATAATGTTAAACTGGTGCACTAAAAGAACTCAAAGTGCGCAGAGCAGTGCACTTCCAGCTTCACAACAAACAAGCATACACAGTCAGGGGAGACACACTTGGGCAAAAAACGCAGTTAGATCAGGCATACTCAAACTCTTAACAAACAATCAGGGCAGGCACAGTCAGGGCAGACACATTTACATTCACAGTTGAGAAAAGTGGAAAAATAGTGCTGGGCCTTTAGTGTTATCTCACTGGTATTCCTATCTTAAAGTATTGATGTAAATGATCTGGTTCCATGGAATGTAGCTTCCACACCCTAAAGCAGCTGTCACTAAATGCAAACCGCGGTCCGTGAACGGCCCCAGCAGCACTGCCACCCGGACCGCAATGACAGATCCGCTGCTGAGCAGGGCGGTCGTCACAGCAACATGACATCTCGTGTGCTCCGCGCCTCTCTGTCCTGCTCCCTGCCTGTACACAAGCGCCCAGCAAGGATCCCAACACACAGCTCCTATCTGCCCTCAAGGTAGGGTATAGTCTTACAGGGGCACTCTGATGGGCACATTGAGTGTTAAGGGGCACTCTGATGGGCACAACATATAATATATTGTGCCCATCAGAGTGCCCCTTAACATAAAATGTATCCATCAGCATGCCCCTTATTTTTTAAGGGGCACATTTTAAGCTAAGGGGCACTCTGAGGGGCACATTTTATGCTAAGGGGCACTCTGAGGGGCACATTTTATGTTAAGATTCTGAGTGCACCAGTTTTAGTAAATCTCCCCCAATATGTTTGGCACGTGTGTGTGTTTTCAATCCCAACAATTGTAGCTTTTCTGTTCATATTAGGTTCATGCTGTTTTGTTGAAAAGCAGGTGTATACAGATTTCCATTTCCAGTAATTCATACCTGTTTAAGGAATCTGTCTGAGGCATGGCTGTGTCTAGCTAACACATTTGGCAGTGCAGGATTGGCATACTCAAATTGAGGGTTGTAAGTAAATGCTGCCTTGAAAAACTTGATTTTTTCCTTGTCAACATTTGTAGGCTTTATAGCATTTAAAATACAAAACTTCCTTCCTGGAGGGTCTTCCTTCACAAGGGGTTTTGACACCCGGGAGTCCTTTCCGGTAGTTAAGACTTGCTTTCTCTTGGCTTTGGGTTTAGGGCGATGAGTAAACCCAATGCTGTTTCCTGACACAGTAATACTTGGAGAACATTTATGGGTGACTGCTCTTGATCTGGAGATAAAATTTGACATGTTCCTCCTGGCATATAACCAGGCATTGTTTTGTGAAGAAGGACAGACTTTGTGGAACTCCTTGTTGCGTGATGTACTCAACACTCTGCTCCCTTTCCTCCTTTTTTTGTTGTGGCTTAGGAGTGGATCTTTTTGAATCTGTTTCTTTTCTTCTTGACTTTGAAGAAGGACGTTATAGCTGCTGGTTCCAGTTGTGAATGTATCTCGCAAGACAGTCATAGACAGAACCTGCACATCTTTGATCTTCTCTCGTGTTAGCCCCTTTTCAACATTTAAGATGGATTTTCTTGAAAGTTCCTTTTTAGGCCAATGAAGTGTCTCTACAATAAACATAGACAGAGCAAATATAGTGATTAGGTATATCAAGTGTAATGTGGAATGTTTCTGAATTACAGGAAAGTAGGTAAAATCACATTTAAAACACATGTAGAGGAAATGTTCTTCCAGCCAAAGGAGCTATAACTCATTGAAGCCCCTTTGCAATTAAGACTAGACATGCGCACACCAGAAAATTTTGTTTCATTTAGTTTCAAATGCATTCGTTCATTGAAAAATTTTGCTTTTTCATATTCATTATGTTGAACCAATTAGTTTTCGGGATTCGTTTGCTTATATTCGGCATTTGTTTCATATATTAGTTGGTCCGGGTGGAGTCTAAAAATGTTGCATTTTTATGGAAGATTGCTATTTATTTCAGGTAGATTCAATATTCATATATCAAAAATTCAGAAGGATTCAATATTTTCAGATGCAGTGGAATAAATAAAGCAAAATTCAGCAGCCCTGAATTTTTCAAACCTAAGAATCACAATAGACCAGGGGTGCTCAACCTTCTGAGCATCACTTAGGTGATTTGGTAACTGGTAGTAGCAAAAATTAAATGAAATGGTTGGTAATGAACATTTTCTTCCTACAGCCGCTGAATGCCGGCAGGAGGGAGAGGAGAAGAAGCCAGCTTTCAGCGGTTTCAGGAGGGAAACGGAGAGGGTTGGTTCCTTTATATGCAACCCCAGCCACCCCTCCTTCTGTAAAACAGAATATAACAGGGAGGCTGCACAGGCCTCCTGGAGCATGGAGCTGGGCCACCACTGCGACCCTCAGCTACACCAGGGGTTGGGGTGTGTGGTAAAAACATGTCTCAACTATGTGGTTTTACACCCACTCCCAAGCTGCAAATGTAAACTTTCCCTTACTGTCTTGAGTCCCCTATAAGGCTGCTTTCACACTGATGCACTGTGGTTTACCAACACCACCCGTGCAGCACAGTGCACCTGCAGCTTTCTTGTGGGCTAGCTGTGCTTTGCCATAGATTTATATTATATCTTTTAGGTGTGGTGCACTTTCAGAAAGCGCATCAAACCCACAGAGTATAATAGAAGTGCGCTTCCCTGGTTTAACGGCGAGAGCCACATCAGAGGGCTCCAAGGGCCACAGGTTGCACACCCCTGGATTAGGCTGTGGAACTGAACTGACTGTGGCACTTACAAATTTAAATCACAAATCGAATCTAAATCATCAAACAAATTTGAAAATTGAATTAATTTCCCCATGGGCCCAAATTATCGATATTGTTGATTTTGTTATAATTTTTTTCGGATTTGTTTACATTCATTACTATGTCTATTCTGCCCCCTGGATCCTGTCCCCTCACAACTCCTACGATCTTTAATCTCTCCCTCTCTACTGGCGCATTCCCCTCCCCTCTGAAGCACGCACACATCACTCCCATACTTAAAAAAACCCTCCCTGGATCCCACCGACCTGAACAACCTTAGACCCATCTCCCTGCTGCCATTTACATCCAAACTCCTTGAGTGCTTAGTCTATAATCGCCTAAGCTCCCACCTCACCGACAACGACCTCCTTGATCCCCTACAGTCCGGCTTCCGTCCCCTACACTCCACCGAAACTGCCTTACTCAAACTCACCAACGACCTGCTAACCGCCAAAGCTAATAGCCACTATTCACTGCTCCTACTCCTTGACCTCTCTGCAGCTTTTGACACAGTCGACCACCCCCTCCTCCTCAAAAAACTATATTCTCTGGGCCTCAGAGACTCCTCTCTCTCCTGGCTCTCTTCATATCTATCACAGCGCTCCTTCAGTCAGTGTTACCTATAACGCTGCCACCTCCCCCTCACTCCCCCTCTCTGTTGGAGTCCCTCAAGGCTCCTCACAAGACCTCCTTCTCTCTAGTTCCCTGGTCTCCTCCTTCCATGCCCGCCTCCAGGGCTTCCCCCATCCTCTGGAACTCCCTACCCCAATCCATCAGACTTTCACCTACTCTCCTCTCCTTTAGGCGCACTCTGAAAACCCACCTCTTCAGGGAAGCCTACCCCGCCATCAGCTAATTGCCAATCTCCTCCACTCTTCCTACCACTCCATCCCCCACAGCTATCCCTCCCGTACCACTATCCCCTCCCTCCTAGATTGTAAGCTCCAAGGAGCAGGGCCCTCGAACCCCTCGTGTATTGCATTGTATTGTTATTGTACTGTCTCGTGTATTGTCTCCCATTGTAATGTACTGCGCAGAGCGAACTGTTGGCGCTATATGTATACTGTGTAATAATAATGATAATAATTCGGAGAGTCATATACATCAGAATCTCTGGGAAAATCAAATTTTCTGAAGAAAATTGATTCAATACGAAACAAAACGCACATATCTAATCTAGACACCCCTGCCAGTGAGCACTGCCGGATCCTCAGAACACAGAGTCAAAACTCAACCACAGATTTCTGATTGGACAATGCAAGGGCAGAAGTACACTGATGAAATCATCTCTTTATTCATAACAGCATGCTTATTATCAGCACATGTATATACAGCAGAACCTGATTGGCTCGTAGTGTTGTCCTTCACATCCCCAATCTGAGTACTGCTGTGGAGGCAGTTACAGCAAACTATTTTCAGATACTTATCCTTGTTGCATTTAGAAAAAAATTGTAAAGATGATTCCAGTGAAAATATAACTGTATTAACTGGCGTCTCTTCCATCTGCCTGGATTTTTTAACATTTAACTAGAAATTAGTTCATTAATAATACAATTGCCATGTTTTAAATTGTTTTTTCTGTCTACAAGTCTTTGCTGATCTAGAAGAATTCTGTTATTTGCTTGCTGATTTAAAAGCTAACTCCACCTTTCTAACCATGTTTCATGTCGCACACATATTTAGGGTATAACAGGAAACATGGTCAAAATCCACAGCTGTCCCCCTGAGCCCACTTACAGCATCCAGGGGTCCTTCTCCCTGCTAACTTTTGTCAGATCTGAAATTGGTATGGCTGTGTGTGGCTTCACCCACAACATTCATTTACAGGAATCTGTGAATTAAAAGTCCTATCTGCTACTGTGGCAGAGGGATTAAAGTTCTCAATGGATAGTGACATCAACATACTTGTAATTCTTTGATAATTCCTCCAGCCCCTTAACTGAAGTACCATACCATGATACAAACGTAAATTGGAGGAAGAGTTTTCAAGAGTCAGAACACTGATCAAGGTTGCAATGCTTTGCAAATTCAAATGCAAAAAAAAAAATAAAACAATAAATGCACAGTACTGATTTTTGAAACATGGGTGCATTTCTTTCCCCCCAAAGTTGGAATTCTCCTTTAAAATGAAATGACAGTACCACAATGTTGAGAGAGGGATCACATGGCATAGGGATCAGACCTGTATTCTATTTTGGTTTTATTCTAGTTGAACTCCACTTTTCATGATTTATATATATATTTTTCTTGTCTCTTTCAAGCCACAAAGTATATAGTGACCCTAGATTATTGCTTGGGGATCCCCACTCAGGCTTCTGGTGTCCTGTAAGATGGATGCCATTGAAACAGTGACTCTCCAGACGCGAAGCATGCAAGCAAAATGAGAGAAGGTTTCTCAACTGCTGCACAACTCATCCAGCCATGTAGTAGACAGGTAAAAGCAGTCTCAGCTCAGTCCATCAAGGCCATGCCCCCAATGTGTTTCACCCCGCCGGAATAGGGTGAAGCGCATTGGAGGCATGGCCTTGATGGACTGAGCTAAGGCTGCTTTTACAGGTCTACTACTTGGCTGGGGTGAGGGGTGCACCAGTCGGGAAACCTCCCCTCATTTTGCTTACAAAGTATATAGTGTTTATGTTTTTATATGCTTATTTCTATGTATTGGGTAAAAATAGCTCATGAGCTCTTCAATGCAAGCTATCATATCTTTATACATATGCATAGGTGAGAATGTGCCAGAATTTTGTGCAGGTAGTACGTGGTGAAAATTTGCCTACCTTATGTACACTCTTCTCGTTGATTTTGACTTACTATGTAATGTGTCAGATAAAGTTTCACTGACTTGACAGTAAGCGCTCTAAACATTTCTCATTGTTTTTACTTGCTATGCAATATTAATGTCCAGTAAGTGTCCACTGACGCAATCAGAAATTAATTTGACAAAAGAACCTAGTATACAGGACTTTCTATTACAACTAATTTATCCACTCCTTATTAGTGTGAGCCACAAACTGTTGGTTCCCATTTTGCTTTTACCTTTCTATTCTCGAGGGCAGAAAAAAATTAAAACCTAATCAACTCAGTCAAAAGCCAGAGACATCTGAGATCTTTTATTGTATAACTGAGAATGGTCCATTGTGCAACTGAACAATAAAGGCTAGAGGGAAAGTTTAGGTGAACGACTGTGGAAGCCTGGGTATTCAAGAAATGCTTTGCTCATAAAACATTGCTGAGGAGGTTTAATTCAGGGTATTCGGCAAATGCTTTGCTTATGAAACAATGCTGGGACTGTATTCCCCCTATAGATACTTTCACTATTCAGTTCTCAGCATGTACGCACTAGTGTTCATTTACAAAAGGAGTAGATTCATATACAGTTCATACACACGGACATTTTTCATGCCTAGAGTAAATTTCCTGGTGCTTGCCCATGCCTGGGAAGCTGCATGTGGCGCATATAGCCTGCCATACAAGTAAGATTCTGTTTGCGGCTATATCCTTGTGTGCTTTACATCTGCGTTTACCAGCGCATGCAAATAAGCATTAGTGTTTAACCACTAGCCTACAGGGCACTTATACCCCCTTCCTGCCCAGCCAGTTTTCAGCTTTCACCGCTGTCGCACTTTGAATGACAATTGCACGGTCGTGCAACACTGTACCCATATGAAATTTTTATCATTTTTTGAGACAGATATAGCTTTCTTTTGGTGGTATTTAATCACCTCTGGGTTTTTTATTTTTTGCTAAACAAACCAAAAACCACAGAAAATTTTGAAAAAAAACTGTTTTTTTCTTAGTTTTTGTTATAAAATTTTGTAAATATGTGATTATTCTCCTT